ATGTTTATATTTTTGTCAGTTAATTATTAAAAGAAATAGTAAAAAAATTTCACAATTAGAAAGTAAGGAGATATTAATATTGATGTACAAATTATTTGATGCTGGAGGAAGTACGTGCAGGCATTGGTATTCACTTTGTGCCTTCTTTCTGTCACATGCTTCATCAACAACAAAATTCAAATTAATTCCTTAGCTAGTGTGTATCACATGTTCGTAATGAAGGAATTTTTAAAAACAAGCTTTCTTCTGAGGTGCATCACCAATTATTGTGTAACATTGATATTTTATTTATTTATTTAATCAATATGTTTAGATTCAAAGTTTTAAAAAATGCAGTGCATTGTAAGACTTCTACATTTGTAATACAGCTTAGTTTTTCATCTCAATATCAGAAAATATATTAGAATTTGTGTATATATGAATTCTCAAATTGAATTTATTATAAATAAAAATATTCTCAATATTAATACCGAGAAAATATATAATTAATTTATTTTGTTATTCAATTATAATTAACATTAAATAGATTTAATTTATCATTTTTGAGAAAATATCTATTATTATTTTATTATTTAAATACTTTTTATTATTAATATTTTTTTATTTTACTTAAACATAAAATGATTTTATAGATAAATATATTTTTTTATTTAATATTCAATAAATTTTAAAATTACAATCATCAGACCTACTTATCCGAGTTTATTTATTGTAATTTTTTTAAAAAGTAATTTTATACCTTTAAAAAAATCATAGTACTAACAAAAAAAAACTAAATATGTTTTGTTGCAATTACCAGAAAAATAAAATAGAGAAAAAATTATTAATAAATCACCTATCAAACAAAACAAAAAACTTAACATTATTTTCTATTAAAAACTTTAAAATCATCTAAAAATTTTATCATTTTTACGGTAAGATTTTAACTTATATTTAAATTATAATAATTTTATTATTATTTTAATATAAATTCAATCATATTTTAAAAAATTCATATTATTATCTATTTTGGTATTAATAATTTTTTATCAACTTATTAACAAAGTGTATAGCAAGACATTAATATGTTTTACATTGGTGAGATCTTGTATAACATTCACATCTATGACATGTCATTATTAAACATCACATTATACGGTTTTATTTAATAATTTAATTACGGTGATGGAAGATCTATGTGGGACTATTTTTTAGAAATAGTGTGATGAAATAAAAAATAATGAACAAAAAAAATTACCTTAAAAATTATTATTTTACGAAGGAAAAAAGTAAGATTTTAACGAGAGAAGGGCACAGCTCTTACTTTGACCTTGTCAAAGCTCTTATACCCAAAATTCAAGTGGCAGTCGCAAATGTTGACCATATCCATCAAACTCATTTTTTTTTTTTAACGTGTTCTTTGAGAAGTGGGTCTTTATTTGTACGGTTCAGATTAGGGTGGAGGCTTCAAATTTTTGCTTTAAAATTAATTTTTTATTCCTAATATTATGTAGCAATTGTTAATTACTATTTATGTATTAAATGAGAAGTGAAACAATAATTAGTGTTGTCATATAAAACCCACTTTGTTATAAATATTTTTAGTCAAGGAAACATTTAATCCATGATTTATCACAATTTAAGGATGTAAACCTTTCCAAATAAGCATCTTTTGAACACAATTTATTAAGCAGATTTATTTTTAATATGAGATAAATATATTTTAAAAATTTTCTGTTTTCTTTCGCCTTTAAATTTAATTTCATTTTTTTAATTAATTAATTCAGTGTCCAACTTTTAAAATTTATTATTTTGAGTTTTTATGTTTAAATTTAATATTTAATAATGATCTTGTATTGTTACAAATTTCATACATAATGTAATTATATTTATAAAATATGTGATTTTAATTTTTTTAAGATTTTATCAACTGGATGTATGTCTTTTTCTTTTCTGAAAAGAGGAACACACACCAAAAATAGTTGAAGATTCTTTTAGTTTATTTTTTTTATAAAATGATTTACAATAATTAATACATCAAACCCATTTAAAATAGTGGAAATGTGAAAATTTATTTTCATAATTAATTTAAATAATTATTTAATACAAAAATAAAAACCCAACCCACGATCAAGTCTACATAGAAAAAACATTTTTTTTTAATTTAACATAACTTTTGAATTATATTAAAATAATATTTTATAATTTGGAATTTTTTTTATATTTGTATTACTTGAAATTGTAATATGTTCTTATAGGGAAGTTATAAAATATTTAGTTAAAATTTTAAAATAAAAAGTATAATTATTTATTATTATTCTAACAAAAAATATGTGGGTACTTTAGCAAATTTTGAGTGAGTAAAAATTTTATTTTAAATTAATTTTAAATTTTTCTTTTATTTAATTAATTTTAGTTCTGATCACATTTTAATGGACCTGAATTTGAATAATGCGAAATTCTTTGATTATAGGAAACAAATAGGATGGTATAATATGAAGGTAAAAGTACCAATTTTTTATTTAATCGATAAGATAGATAATAGGTGGAGATTTATTTTTAGTCAATACAACAATTATTATTAATATTATTTATAATTTAATTTTTTATATTTTATAAATTAGATTACATAAGTAAAATTTATAATACGAATTTATTATATTATTTTAATGAATATAAAATAAAATATAGTATCATTTGATATTTTTTTCTTTTTATACAATTACTACTTAGTCAAACTCATCATGTAATTTCACAATAATAAGTATAAATAAAAATAATACGTTTATCATACATTTAAACATATCCTATACTATTCTAATGTATACTAGCTTTCTATTATTCTTATAATCCAAAAATATAATTTGAGTATTAAATCTTAAAATCAAATTTAATCTTTAAAACCAAAAGACCGAGTTAATTCATTATTTAAAACTATTAAATATTAATATATATTTCAACTTTAAAGTTAATGTGACAAATTATAATGATATATAAAACTGATCTAAAAAACCCTTAAAATGATAAGTAAATGTATGAGAAAATACAAGTAAATGGCAATATAAAAAAATACACAATAAATACATTTTAATTAAATTCTACAAACATTCATGCAGGTTACATCATTCAAAGAAAGTGCATTCACAATTGTCAATTTTTTTTTTCATTTATTATTCAAACCTACTTCTGAAAGAGTCTCTGCTATAATTTCCATTGATGCTTTATTCAAACCCACGACTTTTTTTCTATAAGAAGGATATATTAAATTCTGTGAAATACACTATTTTTCGTTTTGTTTTCAAACATTTATTTGTCTACGTTAACTTCACATCAAAAGTCAAAGAAATAGTTGAAAGATCATATAAATAACCCAACAATTTTGGTGAACGTTTGTTTAGTTTTCCTTAAAACGTAGGGCATAACTCCAGAAGATTCAACTATGGGCCTATTAAATTTAGTATATATTTTCTATTTAAGTCATTTTCACTTTCACTCTTCTTTCTTTATTTTTTTTAATTCATACAGAAAATAGTAAAAGTAAGATTTATCTCCTCATTTTTTTAATATATATTTTTTGTTAATAGATAAAAACTCTTGACATTTTTATAATGATTTATATAATAAATCAAACCAACAAAATCCACAAATAAAAAATATTGCCGGTGAAGCTAAAACAAGGGGAAAATTTTGGGTGATACAAATTCAACTCTCAGACACAACTAATAAAAAATATATTCAATTGTGTATTAAATTAATTTTTGATTCCTTTTATTGAAGATATGAAATCATTAGTTTCAATTTAAAAAAAAAAAGAATAACCATGAGAAGATATAGTAAATATTCATAAATAACTTTCTTTTTTTCATTTTACTTGATATATTTGATGACGTAAATGATATAAAACACGTAATTAATTAAAAAGAAAACATTTTAACTGAAATATGTAATAACACTGCATATCATTATAAATTGTGAAGTTGTTTTGTCCATAATATAAATTATACTAAAATCAAGAAATATTATAAATACAATTTGTATGTGTTTTTAATATTTGTTGATATTAAGTAAAAATTATAATAAGAAACCCAACTTTATGAGAAAGAATTTTGTAAATAAAATTTGAGATACACTTTACTTAATAATCTTGAGTAAATTTAAACGTTTTTAAAAATATTAAACGTTTTAAAAAGAGTATGAAATAATGAAAATAAAATACCAACATAAACATTGTACAAAATGTCAGATGAAAAAAAAATGAAAGAAGAATTATAATATTGTTTTGGAAGATAAAAATAAAATTATTATAAAAATAAAATAAAATTATATACATAATGTTTTATTGATTAAAACATTTATTTCTATATTTAACTCTTTTTTAAGGACGAAAACAAAAAGTATATTTCAGGATTCAAAACATAGCTTATTAGGCACTTGTCAGGTGAATTCACTTTTCGATTCCAAAATACGGTTTTGTTATTTAACTTTTTAACTTTCTGAAAAGTAATACGTATGAATAATAAAAAAAAAACTTTTCATTTGGGTTTGAGTTTTACAGTTATGAGCAAAAGAGAATATTTTGTGAAAGAAAAATGAAAGAGTATTACAAAGAACTAGATTTAAGATTAAAACCTATAAAGCTTAGCTTTAACGAAAGAAAAAAAAAAAAAGTTGATTACTTTTTATTTAAAAAAAAAAAGGTGATTACAAGTAGGAATTTTGAACCTAGGAATTTGTTGTGCTGTTTAAATCCATTACCCACAATGTATAACACAACACTAGTACATTACATTACATACATTGTTGAGATTCATCCACCTTGTGTTGGTGGGACCATGCTCATGATCCTCCATTTAGTTTCACTTTCCCACCATATATATTCCCAACAATTCCTTCCATTTTTTTAAATTGGTTCACATCACAGTTCCTTTCAACTTTCCTTACACCGTCCTTCTTCTACTTCTTCTTCTTCTTCTTCTTCATCCACCTAGCTTCTCCATTCCCAAGTGTCTTTCAACCATATCATGAACAATATTAGAAATAATGGCTATAGAGAAGAAAAATCATTCTGCTATTTCCACCCTAAACAACTTCTTCTTGGGGTGTGCCCCTTCTGCTTGAATGAGAGGTTACTCATAGTGGCTGCTAAACAAGGTCACCGCCACCGCCACCGTTCTTCTTCCTCCAAATCTTCCCACAGGCTGCAAACTTCCACTCACACAAAACCACCCTCTTCCATTCACAAGATCTTTGCTTTTGGTTCTCTCTTCACTCGCCATGAATCCCACCACTGGAAATCTCACAACTATGACTGTAATTATGATGATGTCTCTCCCACTCCAGAAGGTAATAATTCATACATCCTAATTTATTTTACCTTGATTATTATACTGGTAACTGCTACATAATGTTGAATGTTTACAACTATAATTCTCTTCTAATTACTATCTTCTTCTGAAGAGGAAAGTTGAGTTTTTGCTTAATTGGGCGTTTAGTTGTGATTATAATTGTGAATTAGTACTAGTGGGGGATATTTTTCCTCTTGCAATGTCCATGGGTAGGTTTAATGTTGATGAATTGCTTTCATTATTGGTGGAGAATTATCAGTGCATGTTTGCGTGTCTTCATGTGGAAGATTACATTGTGTGATGATTACGAAATTAAGGTAAAAAAGCGTAGCTGCAACGAAAAGAGTGCTATAAGACAGAAGGAGAGAAGGTGAGGGCTTTAGGTTGTGTTGTTTGTCATTCTTTTCATCTTGGCGTGGCATATGCCTGTCAGATGCATACGCCAAGAGCATTATGACACTGCAAAATTATTTTCCAAGATTATGCGCTATTCTATTCTATGGATTTGATGGGGAATTAGGCTACAAAATCAATCTCCCAATATGTCATTCATTTTTATGGAAACTATACCATACCATCATATCTCTGTATTTTTCACTTATGTACAGTGAAAAGAAAAAACAGCGAAATAGGGTGCAACTGTGGAAGAATACTAGAACATTACGTGACATAATTTAAAGTAGAGAGAGGAAAAAAAGTAAGGAAACCTTAGGGCATGATAGTAAAGTGTGTCAAAGTAAATGGATTTGTTTAATTAATGTTTGTGTGTATCTTTGGGAAGAAATGCATTTTTGCTTTATCTTTAGTTGTCTTGGTAGCGAGGAAGCAGGGAGAATGAATGATGTCGTGGAATGACTTTAATGAACTTTGCAGAGTCATTCATCTCAATGAAGTTTGAAGAGAATGGGGTGGCATCGTGGGAAAAGAGCACAGTGTCGAAGAAGGTGTCCCTAGAGAAGTGCAACAGGAAGATGGCGTGGAAGGATCAAAACAAGGAGAAGAGCGTGATAGAGCATGGGAAGTCACGTGAGGTGTTTAGGTGGCGAAAGAGGATAGGGCACATGTTCCAGCTCATACGGTGGAAGAAGAGTGGTGGTGTGTGCCACGTGGAGGGAGTGAAGGTGAGAAAGGGTGGTTGGATGAGGACTCTGACAAAGAGAAAAATGACCATCGAATAAAGGGTCCTCAACCACAACACCATTTCTGCCTTTGCTCCTTCACTTTGCAGTCTGCACTGTAAAGTTAATCATACTCATACTATTCACATCCTAGAGTCAAAATTGGCTTTCTTACCATCTCAAAAATGTGCTTTAGATTACAAAATAAAAAAGAAAAGGGTGGTGCTTTCTTTGCATGCTTTGGGGTACTTGGGGGATGGAACATGGGGTTCTTCTTGTATTTTTCTTTTTGGTTTTTAATTTCTTCATGGCTATAGACAGTACAGGCTGTAAAAGGGTTTGTTGAAATTGGTTTGATTTTGAGATTCATACTTAAAAATAAGATATGAAGAATTGAGTATTCTCCATACTGGGGCACTGCCAAAACTCCCCATGTTAGGTACCCATAGTGGGAAACACTGAAGCATAAGGGCCCTTCAACAATATGCTACAGGACTTGTCTTATAGTTGTCTTATGGAGAGAATGTCTTGTTCCCAATTTTCTAAATGCACTCAATAGCTTCCTTTTAATAAATAACACTGCAAACATTTTCTCTTTAAATTTAACTAACAAATTATTTGCTCAATAATCATGAATCCCGGTTACATATATAAATGTTTTTTTTTTTCACCCAATTCATACTGCATGTGTGCTTGTCCGATTAGGCCCTTATAATTTGCTTAGTGGTGTGATAGGTGCCCTACACAGAACCAATTTGTCCCCAAGTGATCGATGGCATTAGGGCTGGGGACATGAATTTGCCACATCAGGACCACACCATTAGGGGTGAAAGAGAAAAGCTTTATTCGGAGCAGAAGAAAATGACACGACACAATCGAATCCTCACCCAACTAAAAACCAACAAGCGCAGCAGATGAGGGAAATGTGGCACCATTTGGATCATAGGAAATTACATGATTCAAAATATTCTGTAGAAATCAGCACAAACATACATTGCTTTATGACTACGTTTAGAAATTATATTAATAAAAGGGCCATGGATAGGTGTGTGATGACTATCTTTTTCCCTAGTTAGGCTTACACTCTTGCAACCAAACATACAACTAATACATTCCCTTTCGACCGAAGATATCTGAGTTTATGCCTAATTGGCCAACTAAAACGAAAGAGAGGCTTAGAAGAAAGATAGAGCAGCACATAAAATGCTATCTATTTATTACTTATCTTGATCAAGATTGGTTCTTGATTGTATACCTGTATGCATGTGTTTGCATACATACTTGAGAGATGTTGTCTCTTGATTCGTGGTGTTGCATGTGCACTTGTGCTCCACTGGTATATGAATGTGTTATGCGTGTTTCATTGCATAAAAAAAGAAGAAGAAAGTTTTATGAGATGAGAACGGAGTGATAATAAAAAATCCTACTTTACAAATGATAAAGTGAAGTTGTTCATGACAATGTAGAAGAGCAAGTGTGTGCACCTAACCGAACTTGCTTTGGCTACAATTAAGCCTAAAGTTATAAAAGTCTCTGCCAGTGATCCTTATGGTCTAATGTCTTTAATAAGCCACTTAAATTTGTCTGTGAAAGCTTGGAAAAAGGGAAGTGAAGTTGCGAAACAGAGAGTGTAACCAAAAAACGAAATGTTACGAAGATAAATAATGGGAATTTGGACTGTGGACACGTTAGTAGATAGGGTTCTGTTCACAACCTCCACTCTGTCCCTATTGGTTTATCTGTTGCTCACTCATTTCCTCTTTTTTGGTTTCACTTCTCTCTTTCTTGTCAATTTCATTTCGAAGTTACAACAATAACACCCCATGTGAAGTGCACCCTCTCCTCTGTTTCCACCTCATTCATCACCCTGTTATCTTCGACCCTTCAAAATATATTGTTTGCACGTTACTTGTTTGGCAAACGTTAAGGAGTGTCTCTAGTGTAAATAATTCTCAACCACTCAATTTTTTCAAATTTTTTTATCAAAAGATCATTTAATAAGTTTTAACAAAGTAAATTGATATTTATGGAATTTTGTCCGCTTTAGTATATAATAATAAAATGTTTACTATAGTTGTAAACAACTGGTACCCACACCTGATTTTATGGATAAAAGAAAAAAATTAATAATTCACTTATATTTTAAAATAAATTATAATTTTTAGTCTTATAAATAAATAAAAAATTAGTCTAATTAAAAATTAAAATTATTTTAATAAAATTAAATTTTATGTAAGATATAATGATCTACCGTATAAATTATGGAAATATGAATCAATTTAATATCAAAATAAAAATTAAAAACTTATTTTTGATTATTATAATTTATTTTTTAGTAATATATTGATTAAAAATAATAATTCATATTAATCATTAAATATTAAAATAAATATTTATTAGATATTTATTTATAAAATAATTAAATATCTTATCAAATTGATTTATAATAAATATATATATTTAAAGAATAATATTATTTTTTTATTTTAAAAATTATTATTATTATATAAAATAAACTGATTTATAAATTTATAGATTAATTTGACCTAAGATCATATAAATCATGATTAGAACAAAATATGTCTAATTCAATTAAAATAACAAATTTTTTTCAATAAAATATATTTTTCAAACCTTTCAGATCATTCCTATAAGTTCAGTATATTTTGACATTTTTATTAAGTATTTAAAATTATTCATTAATTAGTTACACATAAAGTATTTTAAAAAAAGTATTTTTAATACAAAAAAAACCATTTATTTAAATTATGGATGTGCATATTCCTTTACTTAAAAATTATAATTTGAATTAAGAATATGAAAATATATATTAAGAAAATTCAAAACATTGATAAACACATCATTCATAATATTTTCAAAAAATTCCTTCCACACTTCTTTTTTAACCTCAGAGACATTATGTTCCGGTCACAATGTGCAACTATATTAAAAAAATGCTTTTATAATTAATATATATGGAGGTAATTTACACTAATTACTATATAATTTATCTTAGTCTCGTTTAATGGGATAATGTTATCTCAAATTAATGGTTTGATCGCAAGTTCCGATCTGTTGATTATATTTATCAATTAATATAAGACTACTCAAGTTTAATCAATAATTTGGAATTCAAGTCCAAAGTACACATTTCCGCAATGAGAATCCTACCACTAAGTTGGATTGATTTTCACGAAAAATACACCTAGTATTGACCAAAAAGAAAAACACCAAAATTGACCTAATATATATACTTTTAAAATATACTAAATAATTTATCATTTTATTAATTTTTTCGACTGTTATTTAATTTTCAAAAAAGTTATCAGAAACCATTAAAATAAAATAAATATATAATTTCATAAAATTCCCATTTTATATAAAGTTATTAATAATATACAATTAGTTAATTTTAAGTTAAACGAGAAAAGATCAAGTACAATTAATTAAGTCTTTATAGTTATGGACTCATTTATCATTTCGTTACAATATTAAGGAGTAAAATGATTGATGATTTATAATTTTAAGGATTATTATGTTATTTTAATTACTTTAGAACTCAATTTAATATCTAAAAGATTAAATTGATAGTAATACATAATTACAGAAACTTGTTATTAAATATCAAGGATATTTTGATGAATTATTACAATTTTAAGAATTAAATCGGTAGATTATTGCAATATTAGTGATGCGATAATCTTGTGTTGTGTTTCCTTGAAAGTGTAGCCATGTAAGGGAATCTAATGTTGATACCTGTAAGAGATAGTTTCAATTCAAGCCCATAAAGTGTGGTCCACTTTCATTTCATTTTATTGAATATGTTTTTTAGGTCCATAACAGGCATTGTTTTTGGTCCAAATATAAAATAATGCATGAGAGGGTGGGCTGCTACTTCCTACACCACAATAATTTCCTCTACACCCATAGTATTTGTAAAATGTCAAAAATATTCTTCATTTTCCTCTACCCATCACATCTTCATACCTACACCTCCTACGCCTCTATTCAAGCATCATGCTAGAAAGTTGTCGATGATTTATACTTTAAATAGTATAATATGTTAGGCATAAAAAAAATATTTGATTTATATTTGTGGTATTCTAAATTAATGAATCTGAACTATATTTTTGAAAAACATAATCTGAACTGGTTAATCCAAAATACATTTTTAAATTGTGTTTTCTGAAAGATACATAACTTATTTTTGGAGTGTATTCTTTAAAAATGTATTCCAAAAAACACAATTTAAAAATAAATTTTAAATTATTAAATCTATAAATAACTTCTGAAAAAACATAATTAATAACTCATTTTTGGACTATATTTTTTAAAAATACATTTCATTAATGTTTTGGAATTAGTTTTCAAAAATAAATTTATGAAAACATTCAGAATTATTTGTCTAAAATATATTTTTAAAATACTGCTTCTAAAACATTTTCTAAATTTTTTAAAAAGATAATAAAAAACCTTAAAATAATTTTTCTAAAATCAATTTATATTAAAAATAATATTATTATTTTAGATGAATACGACTCAAATGTGAAGAAAACCCTACGACAATTCACCCCAATCATAAAGCTAGCGTCTGTGATTTTTTGTTTATTTACTATTAACCTAACCTTAATATACCAAAACGTGATCCTGCCTTTAGTCTTAGGTTGAACATCTAGACAAGAGAATACCAAAAACAGTGGCTGAGCCAACCACAGCATTGTTAAAATTGTGATGAATGTGATATTATTCTTCAAAATATCTTTATATTGTTTTTGACCTTTGGGCTTTTATTATAAGACATTCATTGTGCCATAAATAATATTTTATTATACAATTGTATAGCAACATTATATTATTCATTAATATAGAATATACAATATAATATAATATATAAGGTGAGGCCCACCAAAGTAGGAATCATCTACTCCTGACATATGAATATTCAAAGCTAGGTAACGTTGGTTCTGCGAGTTGAATTTGACATTTCAATATCTAAAACTTTTGTTTACAAAACAAAGGGAAAGGGGAACACGAAATCCTTGCAAAAACAGAACTTTGCATATATGAATAATGAACTTACACACAACCTAAAAAGAAAAAAGAAATCACAACCTTCTTGTAGATAGTGATGGTTATTGTGTAGAAAGGAATGGAACAAATTTTACGACGTGTTTAAAATTTTAAGCTGACACAGTGATTCCATATTCTTGAGATGAAGGCTGTAAAGCACGAATGCGAATGTCATATTTGATTGGAGTTGATGCGTGGGTGGCTGGTGATGGTTCTGTTCCGTTGGAAACGAGGGGCAAAGACGATGGAGTGTGATGATTGTAGGCATATCCAACATGGTTGCAACACTTGCGACAGAGAAGCTTGGTTTTTCGGCTGAACAAACACCACAATTGCTTAGAAAAAAATGGGGCACATTCAATTTCATCAGCATGAGTGAATCTGCTGTCATCAACGTTGGAGAATGATATAATGCCTCGCTTTATGGATTTCTCATATTTTGAACCGATGGATGATATGTTCCGGTTAGAGGAGGATAGGTTAAGCTCATACCCGCAAGTGCCACAACTGCAAAAATTAGAGAATACAAATAAATCATTCAGACTGGAACATCCAAATCATCATCAGATATTGAGAAATGATCAAAAGAAAGAAACAAAAGTAGAAGTGGAAGCTACCTCTTGAACCAACCCCAAATTTGACTATGCACACTACTACAACTCATGGCAAAATTTGACTACAGTTTACTGAAAAATTGCCCAGTTTGTCATTTTTTTCAAATAGATCCTACCATGTTGGCTACCTTTCAAATTAGTGAAACAGGTAAATTACATAAAAAACATTCTTTTATTGAAGAGATGGGTTTATTTACGGCACCTAAAATGAAGAAACTGAGTGGCTGTGTTCAGATTATATAGAGATTCCGAATAAACAATTCGACTGACATGGAAGATACTTATGTTTCTCAAGTGTGCGTTTGATCAGGAGTTTAATCTTTGAGTGTGCACACGAAGAACATCTATTAAGATATAAGTCAACCCTTTGGATGATATGTTTCTGACGAGGAATTGGAATTTGACTATCTCGAAAATACTCTGGGCACTCAAACACATAAACAACACAAACCTTTACCATGAAAACAGGATCATAAACGGGAATCAGATACCATATTAGTGTGTTACCCTTCAACATATGGGTTGGTCTAAGTCCAAGTGTCTAACTAGACATAGGAATGAATAAACGAGTAAAGGTCATGGTCCAGCAGATACGATTCCAATTTCACAGGGCCTATAAACATTGAACTAACACCAACAACCCCGAAAAGAGAAACAAATTCAACCACACTGAGCGCAGAATTGAACAGTTGAGAAAATTAAAGGGATCAAACGAAACAAAGTATTAACCCAAAAGAATCCGAAAACATGTGATGGGTAGAGAAAATTGGAGGGAATATATATGAAAGAAGAATCAAGTAGCCACTGCTTTTGAGTCATTGAAACGAACAAAAATTGATCCTGTCAGGTATTTATTTGGAAAGAAGCAAATTTGAAATTGCAATTACAGTGAAAGAAAAAAAAAAAAACAGAAGAAGAAAAAAAGCAGAATGAGTTGAGAAAAAACCTGTAGCGGACATCCCTCTGAGAAGAGCAGGAATAGGAGGAGGAAGATGAACTGTGGTGAACTTGTGATTTGTTGTTGAACACAGAATTTTCCATTTTTAGATGAATTGAGAAAGCAATGAGAATGCGAAAGAGAAAAATAAAGAGAAAGGAAGTTAATTAATAACAAGAAGAAGAAGAAGGAAAGAAACTGCCTTGGCAGTTATGTTGTGTAGGTTCATGTCCCTGCAAGAGGCCACTCTGACATTGACTCTGCCCAAACCACTTCACACTTCTATCTAAACATTCCTAAATAATTTATTTTTTTATATTAGTATTTATTTATAAATTATTTATATAATCAAATGGTCGTTTTTTACAATAATTATTTTTATAAATTGTATTTAAAATATTTAATTATTTAACATTTTTTATATTTACAATATATGAAAATTAAATCTCTACAATATTTTTGTACCTTTTGTCAATATACGCATAATTGTGTCTATTATAATTAATTAAGATAAGAATTACTATAATTGTTACAGAAATTAAAAATAAAAATATAATCATTAAAACTAAAGGTAACAACAATTTTTTGAAATAATAAAAAATAACAATAATGAAGGATTCAAATAGAATCACCCTCCATCTGTTTCTTCCACTCTTAATCACATACATTGATTAATCCAAACGGTTAAGAAAACGCTTCAAATATACAATTTGTAATGCAATAGACATTTTTATGTTTTATAAATAATACTACTGAAAATCGACTTATTTTCTGCAAATTTTCTTATAAAAAATTATTTAAATTTATAGAAGATTTATTTCTTATCATTTTTATAAAGAATTTGCAAAAATATTCTCTTGAAATATGATAGTTATTAGTGTAATCAATATTTTAGCTTTTGCAAAATACATTTATTCAGTTATTTTTAGATTTTTTTTTACTATTTGTTAAGTTAATAATAAAATATATTTTAGAAACTAAAATTACATATTAATGTTACTTTTTATTCGTTTGGTAGGTTTTCTTACTTTTTATTTGGTAGTATAAGTTAACATAGGGCGAAAATGATGAATGCAATTTAACGTGCTTTTAGCATTTTGCACTTTAATGATGCAACTAATTTTCTTTGATTTATAGACCGACCAAGTATTATTTATGTATGTCTATTACGTAAGTCAAAACAAAGAAAACAAATTATTATATCTTCCGAATTTCCGTGTTACGCCGACACGCATTGGTTAGTTCCCACATAGGTAAAGATTCTTCGGTGAGTGACACGTGTATGTACAGAATAGTTACATAGTCATGCAAACGAATCAAAGAAATATAGATATCACAAAAATAAGTAAGCCGAATTATAAATTATAGTTTTTATTTCATATTTTAAAATGATATGATATTAACATATGGATAATTATTATGAATTGATTGGTATTCTTAGGACTACAACTTTTTTTTATGAAATATTTGAGTATTAATTTTAGTCTTTGCTTCCTCTTTTCTCTTACCCAATGCATTAGTAGTAGTAGTTTCCTTAGCCGTTTATAATTTATTTGCTTGGAAACAGATAACTAAGCTAATGTAAAGTTTAGAAAAACCACCATCAAAGAAGTGTTTGATAATTAAAAGATAAATATTTGATATTTTTTTATTGATTGATTTATAGGTAAAAAGCAATATACTATATAACCTAAAATATACCAACAACACATAAAATTCTATAAATGTGATTATCTCACTTAAAATAATTTTACAATATAAATCAAATAATATATTAATTTAATTATAATTAATTTTATACCCAAAAATAATACGATGTGGACATATAGATGATTATACTTTATTAATTGACATAGTTAGGAATATACAAATGTATTTATTTTTCAGAAAAATCAGACAATGAAAGAAATATTTGAGTATTAATTTTAGTTTTGATTTCCTCTTTTATGTTTCCCAAATTTTTGGAGTAAGAATAGTTTTTAAGATAAACTATCATTGAAAAACTATCAAAAGCTAAAGTATAAATATTGGTGAAGTATGATAAAATGTGCTAAAGCAGATTAGATTTTTGCGGTGAAGAGAATGCATTGATGTAGATGAGGATACGAGTTTTGTTTAAACAGATGTAGAGAAACATAAGAGATGGTGTCTAATCCTCATCCCCCTCATCTGTAACGAATTTCCCAGTTCCAGGATTCAAAGCAGCAACGAAGAAGAAAAGAACGTTGAACAACACAAGGGGTTCGATTTCGTTGATTGGTACTCCAGTCTCGATGTTCAGCTGGGCCAGTGCTCCCTTCCCAGTAATAATCTCTCCAATCAAAGAGAAAACGAATCCCAATTGAGCCAATCTTCCCACAAATAGCTCGTTCGCTTTCGTGAATCCAAACAAAGGACCTGAAAAATCCCATAAACAATCCATCTTTTATATTAAGAAATGTGATGTGACCCTTTTGAGATACAAGTGTACATTAATCTTTATTCTTTTGTAAAGTTAAGAAATTAGACATTGAACAACATTGTTCTATAAGTGGGGTACGTACCTGAACCGAGACCAAGAGCTTCTCTGAAGCCTTTGCCTGGAGGAATAACACCTCCAGTGGTAGGTTCGTCATCAACAAATTGTCCACGGTCACCTAAACCTCCGATGGCTCCTAGCAGTGTGAAAAGGATGAAAAACAGAAGAAGAGGCTCTGCTTCATAAATGGGAATTCCAGTTTCCAGATTCAACTGTGCTAGAATTCCTTTCCCAGTTAATGCTTCACCCAACAGTGATGCCTGCACCAAATTATAATTCATGCAACATTTCTTAATGCTTCTGCCCAATCACACACGCCAATTTCAACATCATTCATCAAACACCATGTTTTATACTACTTGTTTCTACAGGATATACTATATTCATCAAAATCTTCCTAACTAAACTAACTAACTAATCAGCGATGCTTAATTCTCAAGTGCATTGAAAACAAGAAAATATAACGTGATGTCACAACTAAGGAGTTTATTTATTTATAAGCCCAGATTTACTCACCGCAAAACCAAGCATAGCAACACGCCCCACAAAGAGCTCGTTCTGCTTAGTAAAACCAAACCCCCCAGAAGTGCCAAAGACACCATCTTCAACCTTTGGCTTTGGCTTCGTAACCTGAATCAATACATAACATGAATCTCGTGAAACCGAATCCAATTTGCTGAAAAATGAAGCATTTGATTATACCAGACACAAGTTTCATTTACAAAAAAAGAAGGCAAAACGAGTGTACCTTGGTCTTAGCAGGAGTGGCCTTGGTCTTTGATTTAAAGAGGGCCAAAGTTGTGAATGTACGAGGTGAAGAAAACAAAGAACTTGATGATGGAAGAGGGCTGAATGAGAGTTGAGAGAACTTAGGCCTCAATTGGAGAAAAAGGTCTTTCTTCAAATCCACCGAGTAGCTGCTAGAGACACTAGACATGAGCAACATGGTTTGAGCCATTGCTTCAGTGTCAAACAACTCCTACCAAGATGCTTTGTTTTAGAATGTTGAGGGTATTGTAGTGTTGAATATGTTAAAGAAGAGTTAACCAAAATCATGATAGAGTTGGAACACCATCTTTAATTTAACAAGGGTGTGGATGTGGTGGAATAGTTGATGACAGGCAACAAGAGTGACCACGTCTCCAATACTATTTGTGGGTATGGTGATAATGTTTTCATGTGAGGTTTCTCAAAATAATATTCGTCTCCTTTCATTTCCTGCCTCAAACTTAGTACACATTCACTCGCTTTGATTTGGATTTCCCTCAATCTATTTTACTTAAAAAATAATATAAGTTGGAGTTTTTGAAAAGCAATGTGTCTAGATTCTTCCAAATTCTAAGTTGGGTTTTATGCGGTCCAGAATCTGAACAAAGAAGTTAGTCAGTATTAGCTTTGAGGATTGGAGACAAGGAAATCTCAACTCCACAAATCCTCATTCGACACGTCAACCACGACCAGTGGATATTCCTAGTACAGAATTGTTTGTTATCTAAACTTCTCCAAAATAACGGTTCAATATTTAACGCACGTGAAAACATGTAATTGTAACTACAACTATTTTAATGGAGGAAATTAAAATTGTAGTTTGTATGATGTACGGTTACGGATTTGTATAATATATTATATTTTTTACATTTCTTTTTAGGGGATTTTTGTACATTATTAATTATTCATGATTTATCAAATAATACTACTGAATAGTTTTGCATTTATATTAGGATATATTTGAATAAATAGTGTACTATAATATCTTAGACAAAAAAATACTCAATTATATATAAACTTAGTTATCGAAAATAGCGCTATTAAAAAGTTTATTTAATGATATAAAAGTACTTATTCTATCAAGTAAATCTAAATTAATTTTTTTTTAATATCTTTGATTGTTTGAAGAATTTAATATCTTAAATATTTTTTTGTTAGAGATTTAATTGTTAATTTCTTTTCACATTTTTTTTGAAGGATTAGAACTCACTGATTGTATTTTTATACTGTAAAACGTTAATTTCTAGCTGTGAAATGAAAAATACCTTTACTGAGGAAATTAAAAAGCTTGACAAATTACCCATTTCCGACATAAAAATCTTCCACTGTTTTGCATTTCTCCAGGCCCAACTTGTAGTTTTTGCAAATTGGTGTGAAGATGGACCAGGCCTAGTGTAGTGCGAAACTTGATGGGCCCTAAGTTAATTTATTTTGTCCAAAATAAAGTCAATGTTATTTAGTTATTTTTCGTTATATTAATTATAAATTGATATAAAGAGAAAATTAATTAAGCTAAAACAGGCATACTACCAAAATATATGTTATGTTTATGTATGTTTAGAAGCATCGGTGGTGCTCTTATATTAATGAAAAAAATGAATTTATTCAGTTTTCTGTTGAAAATAAGTTAATATGAGCTTGCAGAAAGTGATTAATTAATTACTTTTTTATTTACATTTTTAGAAATTGGCGTCAATAAAAAATAGGAGCGTGAGTTTTAAAATTATACGAATTTAAATATTGAATTATTTGTCTTTTTGAATTACGTTAATTTCCCGTGAAAATGGACCTCTTCATTGTGATTGTAAAAGGACATTGGATTGGATTGTAGCTAGTTACGTAGATAAACATGCATTTTGGTTTTGTGCAAGGGATTTGTTGGATATTAATCTCCCTTATGATTATAACAGAATAATTTATTTATAATAGGGAGATATAATTAAAAGAATAACTAAAAATAACAGAATAAATAAAAGATATTGTTTAATATTATGATTAACAATATCTTAATAATATCAAATAATATCTAAACAATACCTAACATTCTCTCAAACTGGAGTATACAAATATAATTAATTCTAGGTCCTTATAAAGATTTAGTAAAAATATATGTTAACTGATCACTTGAGTTAACAAATCTTTTATCTCCCTCCCTTCTTTAATAAAAATATATTTTAACATAATAACACAAATATAGTTTTGTCTCCTACAATTAGATGTTTCTATATTTGTTGTTTTCTACATAAAATAGAAAAAATAAAATAAAAAATTATATTTTTATTTTCGACCGATGAAATTAATTTATAAATTTGAGTTATTAGACAAACCAAACATTGTCTTATGTTCTTCAAGAATATAAACAATAGTATAACCTCTATTGAATTTTCTTCATAATTTGTCCATCTTCTCTTCATCCTAATATAGCACGTGAAAATTTTCGTAATCTTCTTCTTTTAGGACTCGATTAAATATGATTTTATGATCTGATTAATTTGGTAAATAATTTTTTTTTTACTTTTTGACGTGTAACTTTTTTATTTTTATTCATTCACATTTAATTTAAATGTTTGACACTTTTTTTAAGTATTATTTTCTTTCCTATAGACTCAGTTTTCTTAAAATTAGATGGATTATAAGTTTTTTTAGTGATAAGGTTTTTTTTTTTAATTTCTACTCAATACACTATCCATCTTAACTTAAATTTGGATTTCTAATAAAGACAAAACGATATTTTTGTTTGATTGAGTAAATATGTACATGTAAAATAGAATAATTATCCTAACAATAATAGAAATGTGAAGTAAATAAGGATATTAATTTATCTTTAACACTTACATACAGAAGCTTCCACTTTCTCTCCACAATCGGATAGAACACTGCTACCAACACCGAATGCTTGCATTCCTTTGCAACTTCATAGCTTCAAAACATTGACGAATTCCAAAATGTCATGTTTTTGTTCCGTATCATTCATTCCCTTTTAACCGTGTCTGTGATTGTGTTTGGTTAATTGTTGATAAAAAAAAAGTTCACCAGAAAAACGTGAAAGCTTTTTCCTCATTGATTCTAAAGGGACATGCATTGTTATATTGGTAGGTCCCATTACAATTTTGTCTCCTTTATTCTCTCTATATTATACCAAAATGATGATTTTTTCATCAAATTAAAGGGAATTTTATATTTTTATCCTCCCTTTTTTTTTTTTGTCAAACTTGTATTTAGTTTCCACTTTTCATGTTGTCCAATTGCAATTTATTATCAGAAATAATTTTCAAAACCAATAAGCAAATATGAAAAAAAAAATTATTTGAAAAAAGAAATCCAAAAAATGATCGCTATTTTTAGGAAAAATGTTCTTTAAAAATGACAACTTTTTAGTGAGAGATTGCTACCACTGCATTTGAAAGGAAAATAAAGCAGAGCAGGTAGATGTTAGAGTTTTAGACAGATTATTAAGAAGGAAAGTGGACAATGACCTGCATTTATAGTCCTCCACCATGGCGGGAATAAGAGAAGTTCATTTCAAATAAGAAATTAGATTAAAAAATGTTCTCAAAAGCTGAAAAAAGTGATGGTGGTCTTTCTTATTGCACAGCCCCTTGACCTTGAATTTCACAACTCGACATGAACAGTCACGTGCCCCTCTTGTATTTTATTTGAAACAAACAATATTTTATTCCATAAAAACAAAAAATAGAAACTCCCATGGCATGCTGTGCTACTTGTTTTGTTTCTCAGTAGCAGTTATCATTTTGTATCTATCTATGTGGATACCATTTGCCATTGATTTCTTTTGCCTATTTCTGTTGTCTATGTTCTACACTCTCAACTTTTGAACCTATTTTTTTTGTTTACGATTCCATTATTTTTGGTTCTAGCTAGCTATTGAACCGGTCATTTACACAGTGAAAGACTGATAGGTACTTGATCTCTTGTTTCCTCTACATTTTTTCTTTCCTGTCTTGAAGTTTAGCGATAAAATAACTTTTTTTTCACCAGTTGTTTTGACTTATGGGAATGTTGGATGCATTAGTGTCCATGGCAGAAAAACTATCATTTTACGATACTTTGCATTGGCTATCATATCATTTACTGTTTCATTACCTTCAGTCTGTGAATTTGCGACAAAATGTCAGGGAAGCTATGGGAGTGCGAATCTCAATAACCATCCAAGAACTTGATTCATTCTTTAGTCATACTCGTGAAGTTATTATGGGTGTGTTTTGGATTATACACAGGGATGGTCAGAAAAAATAAATGTTAAGCCAAGTAATCTCTTTTCTGTATAAACAATTGAGATTGTTGAAGAAGAAATGTGTTTTTGAGTTTGACTTTCCACTTATGTATAATAGAAGTGTCTGTTCTATAACGAGGTGAAACATTAGCCATGTTTGCTTATAACTCTTCACTATAATCTTCATCCTTGAGAAGGGTTTTTGTGGTTCGTTTTGAGCGAGCTTCTTAAAAAAATTTGGGTAATGTCCGCAGATGACCTCCTTGCGCTTGACGAGGTAATCTCGGGTTATTAGTCAGAGTGGATTATGGAGAAAAATAGAGGGCTATGGGAGAGGAAATCTTCTGGTGAAACTAAAAATTCAGGGTCTGCATCATCTAGTTCTGAGAAGCAACCAGATGAAGAGGTAAGCAGTCTACTACTGTCATTATAACTAACTGAAACAAAAAGAAACCTTCAGAAGCCTGGCATATTTGCTGTTTTCGAAATCATTCTACTAAGGTGGGGTGACAGTGGCACTAGACATGTTCAGTCTTTATTCCTTTTTCAAAATCTGGGGTCTTATTGATATGATATCTAACATGTACAAGTCACGAGTTTTAAATTCTAAGTTGACTACTGTTCTGTAGTAAACAAAAAAATTTCACTTAATTGATGAAGTTATCATTTAATTACTGCTATTAAGATGACCTTCATTAGTTTTTCCCCCTCCCCCCCTTTTTTTATCTCTCTTTTTGTGTAATTAAATGTCATAATGTAAGATAAATATACACAAATGTCATAATGCTTAACATGAGTAAATTTCCTGGAAGATTGAATGAGTTGTCTTAAAATAATGAGTTCATCCAATAGAGCCATGTTCCAGAAATTGCAGATATTGCTCCCTTGATTTATTTGGAGAGGTAGTTACTGTGTTGCTTAGAAGATGATACTTACAGAGTCTGTCTCCAAATGAAAAATGACCACTTTGTTTCCTGTTAGATTGGTAGTAATTGTTTGAACAAATACTCGAAGACAAGGCTAACTATGATTCATCTCTGTCTTATTGGATGTAATAGTTCTCACGTACATGCAATTAGGATTTACCACTTGCTTTTCTTGTGAGGAGGCCTAGACTTGAGTATATGTAAGTTCAGTACATTCAAGGATGTATATATTTCCAACTTCACTGTCATACATTATGTAAATGAAGCGTAACTATCATATCTTTTAAGCTGTTCATCGCCTGAAAGTTGATATTTTATCCTGTTATTTTCTTCTTCTAGTCTATGCTAGTATATTTTTCTTGTTTCCGCAGCACGAGGCATTGAATGGATCTCCTATTGGACATAATCAGTCAAAAGTTGTGGTCATCCCTGACGATATTAATGATATGTCATTTATCAATGCACAATCACCTGAAGACACCTCACATACAACAGACAACGTAAATGATGGTTTAAAGGATGAAGATGTAAATGAAGGAATGATAAATATATTAAAGGATGGAAATGTAACTGATGGATTGAGGAAAATGTCAGAAAAGCTATCTGCAGCGCTCGTGAATGTAAGTGCCAAAGAAGATTTGGTCAAGCAACATGCCAAAGTCGCTGACGAAGCTATTTCAGGTACATATATTTTTAATGATCAGTACTTACCTCTCTATTCATCCTTGGATGTGGTTGGTGTTCTGAAACTTGTTTCTAAACAAGTTCATCTTTTGAACAAGTAAAATCAAGTAATTTCACCATCAAAGAGAGGGTTTAACAGAAACTGCATGAGTTGTGTCGATAGTATTTTGGTATCAGTGGCTTATATGTGATAAGCTTGAATGCTATGGTTGAATATATATTTCTTTTCTTCTGTTTCTCATTTTTTCTTACTTGATCATTTCTATAAACCTACAGGCTGGGAAAAGGCTGAGCATGAAGTGACAAATTTGAAGAAACAAGTTGAGGCACTGACTCTCAGAAATTCAACATTGGAGGATCGAGTCACACATCTAGACAGTGCACTTAAGGAGTGTGTTAGGCAGCTTAGACAAACAAGAGAAGAGCAGGATCAAAATATTCATGATACTGTACTAAAGAAAACAAATGAATTGGAATCAACCAAAACTAAACTTGAGAAGCAGCTCATGGAGCTGCAGAGCAAATCAGATGTTTCTGATGCTAGTTCTCCTTCATCAATTGATTTTGATATGTGTCAGAAGGTCGAATATTTGGAGAAAGAGAACATGGTTCTCAAACATGAGCTCCAAGCTCAGTCTGAAAAACTGGAACTCAGGACAATAGAGAGGAATTTAAGTACTCAAACAGCTGAGATGGCTACCAAGCAATATTTAGAAAGCATCAATAAAGTGGCCAAACTTGAGGCTGAGTGCCGGAGACTGAAAAACATGGCCTGTAGAGCTTCCATTGCATCATCCTCATGTTGTGTGGAATCTATCAAAGATAGTCAATCAAACAGTGGAGAGAGGACTAGTGCAGTGGAGATTGATACCACAAGAAAGAGTGGCTCAGAACCAGACATATGTGAGTTAAGTTGTTCTGATTCATGGGCATCTGCACTAATTTCTGAGCTTGATCAGTTCAAGAATGAAAAGTATAAGCAAATTCCATCCTGTTCTGCTAACATTGATCTCATGGATGATTTTCTTGAAATGGAACGGCTCGCAGCACTACTTGATACTAAGAATGAGAGCTTTATCAAAGAGTCAGTCGTTGCCAATGATTGCATTCAGGAAGAAAGCTCCATCAGAGATGAGTTTGACGTTTCCAATCGGCAAACTGATGAACTAAAAGAGAAGCTAGTGAGGGTCACAGCAGAGAAAGAGGAAGTGAGGACATGTTTAATGAAAAGTGAGTGTGTCATTGAGGCATCACAGCTTAAAATGAGGGAGGTTGAAACAAGATTGGATGAGTTGCAAAGAGAGCTAGAAAATGCCTACAAATCAAAGCAAGTGTTAGAAAATGAATTAATGAGCATGCAATCTGAGGCTAAATCAATAAGTGCAAAAGTTCACTTATTAGAAGCAGAAGTTGATAAGGAAAAGGCTATGTCAATTGAAATTGAAAACAAGTGTAAAGAATTAGAGGAAGAGCTAGAAAGAAAGAAGCAGGTAGAGAAATTCGGGTCAATAACCTCCTCATACAGTGAAATCAAGTTAAAGCAGGTTGGTCATCATTAACATCTATATTAAATTTTCTGCTAATTTAACATGAATAATGATTTGCACACAACTCATTTAATGTTTGTTACATGTTCTACGGCAGGAGGACCTAGCACTAGCTGCAGGAAGGCTTGCTGAGTGCCAGAAAACAATAGCATCTTTAGGGAATCAATTAAATTCACTAGCAACACTGGAAGATTTCCTCATTGACACTACCAGCATTCCAGAGCTTTCTGCAACTCCATTAGTCATTGCTAGAGCCGGTGCAGATATGTTGAAGTCGCATTCAAATGGCACATACTCAACTGAAAGAGATTCCGGTTCTTCAAGTTCAGGTCCACCCTCAAACAAAAATGAAGAAAGCTCATCACCCTCATCAAACAACTTGCCAAAGCATGACAATTCTGAGAAGAGTATAACTGGTTTTGTACAATTTTTCTCTCAAACCGAGAGTGGAATCCATCTAGAAATTAGTGGGGACTAAAACTACAATGATGGAACTCGTTCATATGTTTCTATCATATATTATGTTTTTGGTATGCATAAATGTTTATAAAAAAATAGTTCATACTGTCATGATATAAAAACGGTTACTGGGGTGAGAGAGGTTCGAACTCTCGACCTCAGGATAACTCAACTAGAAGCTATGAGACCTACGCGCTAGCCAACTGCGCCACCACCCCTTCGTGTTTAAAGCTTTCTTTTAAATTTATAGTATCCATACCATAAAAATGTTGTTTTCCTAATCTGAGAGTGATATGGGCCATGTCAGCCCAAAGTGGTTAGAGATCAATATGTTAAATAGAATCCGCATCCAATGTTTTGTAAGGGAAATAAAATGAGGAGAAAAAATTATGCGAGTGTGCAAATAAATATGTTTGATAAAGGCTATTACAAAATCTCAGTCAAAGTTGTTATCCAGTAATTTATTGATTATGCATAATATAAACAAGCAAAACTATGCTAGTACAATAGCATTTGGAAGAGACATGTTATACAGTCAAATAAGTTAGAGACGTGACTAGTCTTACAAAATATATATATATATATATATATATATATATATATATATATATATATATATATATATATATATATATATATATATATAAGTGAATATTTTTAGAAACATTAAATATTAAAAAACAAACCTTAAGACTCCATTAACGGACACAAAAGACAAAAATCCCAAAACATACTAAATAACATTTAGAATTTTAAAAATTTAATTAATCTTCCGAAAAATATTAAAAAAATATTACAATGCTAAGTTCATGTGTCTAATCCCAAGTTATTTCAACCCATGCGTGTGTGAGAGTGGAAGCATTTAAAATTCTCCCATATAACATGGTTTGGAATAACCAAGGAGAGGTTGGTAAATGGCAACTTACCAGGATACATGTTTGACGCTTCAACATTATTCCTTTGAGGAAATTACAAATAATCTATTTGTGTTGTATTAAAAAAAAACAAGGAGATCGAACATATTTGTACACACAATCATGCATGCTGTATCATTTCCCTGCGCTTTTTTTACTTTTGATGAAGATTACAGTGTTGTACATACACCAAAAAATAAAATATAGAATTGTAATTTTCTCTTCTATCATTCACTGTGGTGATGAAGATTTGGCTGCTGGGACTTCCTTTCTTTCTTAAAGGCTTTGAGGAGATCCATGCCAAGACCAATATTGAGCAAATTCATCCCAGCCATGCCCAACAGAGCCAGTGGTAGCTCCATACCCTTTTGAAATTTGTGAGCATCCTTGATGAGCTTGGCTGTGATGAGAATGTGAGGTACAGATCTTGCCACAAAGAAGGTGACCCAATTCAGAAACCATTCTAGCTTAACAAGAATACTCTTTGCATCCCGAATACCGGCCATTCGTCTCACTTTTCTTACATGCAGAAAGATGGAATGCAGCTGGACCATATACCATCACAACACAAATAAGTATTCCTTAGTTTATACAATAACCGATAAGCATTATGTAGTTAGGACTTAACAACACACACTCATACAAATGAGAATGCATAATTTGAGGTGAGATCCTGTCGGTCCAAACTAATCTTTACATGATATATTTGTTCCTAATTCTTACGTAATGGGGATCATGTGAGTTCACAATAATCTAACAATTTTTCTCATGGACACTATGGTGTACAAATATCTAATAATATCTTTGAACAAACATCTCATACATACACACTTTAGTGACAAAATTCTAGTCTTTTTTTAAGCAAAAAAAACCATTAGATATTAAACAATTACACACACACACAAAAAAAAAAAAAAAGAGTTTCAGAGGAAATGTGGCTTACCTCACAGATAAGAGTGAGAATAAGGTAGTTGACGGTAACATTTCGATACAAAGCAAGAGTGAAGCAAATAAGGAGAACCAGATGATGCACAAGGATAGAGGGGATCCAACCATTATACAAGCGATAATGAAGCATGTCCCACTGATCATATGCAAAGTAACCACATGAGAAGCTCAATGCTTCAAAAGCCCACGGCCAAGTATGTTCAACCAGCTGTGAGTGGTCAATCATTCCACTTGGCCCATTCCTTAACAACTCTCTGAACAAGATGAAGATCACTGCAAAAGAAAAGGTAATAGCAAGACACCCATGAGAAGAGAAAGGGGAAAAGGTATTAAAAATGACAGTCTATATGGAAATTCTCTGCTATCCAACAGAAAGAATTTTAGCAAAGAACCATCAATAGAAGTGTAAGGCAGTAGATTAAGGTCTTGTTTGGTAACTTTCTTCATAAGCATTTGTAAAAAAAAAAAAATGAAGACAAATTGAAATAAGATTCTCTCATAAACATAAATAAATTAGCCTATTCATAACTTCAAATATTTGAAGAAACTAAAATCATTTTTCTCATACAGGCTTATATGGATAAACTTATCCAAAGACAACCTAAATGAAAAACGAGAGACTTCTGGATATTCATGGTCAATTAGAAAACAAGACTCATTGAAAGCTTGATTAATGGAAATTATTGAAAAACTCTCCAGCCTCAAGCTGATGCATGAACAAGAAACCGAGTTTCAATTCATGCAAAGGTTTACTGAAGTTTGTATCACTCAGCCGTAGTCCATATAATAATAATAAGAATAATAATATTATTTATTATTATTATTATTACTATTAATTATTAATATTATTATTATTTATTTTCTTTACAAAAATAAATCCAATATGCCTAAAACTCTGCTCTCTGATTATGGAAATTCTGTTCACTCGCCCACAATGTCCCGTCTCAAAATTTTCCCTTTGCAAACAAAATCTTGACATGATATTTAAAGAAAAGGAAAAAGCCCCAAAAAATCGAAAGAACTTGAGGATGGAGTAATAGAGAAATAACCTGAAGCGGAAGTGAGGAGAGAGTGAAGAAGAGAGACGGAAGTGTTAACGAAGAGAGGTTCTTTATCTGCGGAGAAGAAGAACCGGATGAAGCAATTGGATGTCTGATAGAAGATTGAACCCGCGATGACAGAGAGAAGCTCCCAACGCTGATTCAACAAAATCTGAAAACAAACGGAGCCTAACCAGAGAAGGAGAGTGGCTACGAAGAATGTCTCCACCATGTTCCGCTTTCCACCACCCATTGGCCTTCCCGCTTTTGCTTCTTCTTCTTCGTATTCGCATCCAATCCAAACAAGCCGCTACTTTTATTCGGTTCTCTTCCAGAATTTTCAATTCTCGTCTTGTCAGTAATAAATTTGTCTTACCCACCCGTTGTTGGCCGTTGTCAATTGCTTGAGTTCAAGGGAGTGGTATCGCACACGTTTTTTGTGAAGTAAAAATCGAAAATATTTGATTTAAGAATAAAAAATTATAAAAGTAGAGTGTATGTAATTATTTTTAAACTTTAAACTTTATTTCACTTTAAATAATCTTTGAAAATATATCTAATTCTTATTTTCTGTTTTCTGTTGTTTGGTTTTTTTTTCTTACCTATTGAAGATTTGCTTCGTATGTGCTTTTTGTGAAAAAAATTAACTTATCCTTATTTCATATTTGTGAAATCTTGACTTCACACTTGAATATGAAAAAAAATAATATCTCAATAATAATATTTGTAATAAATTATGAATTTTGAAAATATATAAATATTATATATTATTAAATAATTAATTATCTTTTGATTAGGAGATATATATATTTTTATATGTGTTAACTTATATCTTAAACCTATGTATAATTTGATTAATTTTATTTGACAACTTCTAATATATAAAAAGGTAAAGTTGAGATGACAATTCGATTACTATTTTTAAAGATTTTTAACTTAGAATTTATTTTTATTTTTTATATGAGAATGAGTGAAAATAAAAGTAGAAAAACAATGACAGAAAATTTAAAGTTTTATGATTAAGCTAAAATGAATTATAAATAAAAAAAGTTTAATTATTTAAATTTTATTTAAAATATCATTTTTCTACAATTTTTCTTTTTTACTTTTTTTTTTAATTTCTCTTTTTTTTTTATCAAACACATCTTAGTATTTTTAGAGGAGAAAAAATCATTTCTACTTGATCATTATTTTGAATAGAGTAAATTTCTCTTTTTCCAAATTTAGAACATTTTTTATATTTTAATTTAGGTTTACACATGGGTTAGATGAGGCTTGCATATATACATTTTGTTGTAAAAAAATAAATCTTGACTAGTTTAAAAGTATTATGATATGATAAGATTTCTTGTAAGATATATTTTTATGAAAATTTATGAGTTTTTTTGGTTCTTTGATTTGAAAACATTGTGTGTTTAAGTAAAGAAAGTTAATTATTTTTCAATTTTCATAGTATTTTTGGCTATAAGATCTGAATTGCGAAGATAACTTAGTCACAGTGATTAAGTTTCAAGAAATTGGATTGTATGATTATATGTGTTGATTTGTGATTATTGTATTAAATGTGAATATATAATTGATTTTTATAATATTGAAAATGACAGGTCTTTTGTGTGAATGTATTATTTTTATATTGAATTAATTTATAATTTTGAGGGTAATGTTTAGATTTAATTTGATTGGAAACATTAGAAACATGGTATTGAACAAATTAAATTATGCAGTATGCTACTATCACAAATCCGTTCACTGAATCTAAATTTGCTTAGCGGATTTTAGACAATGTTGAAAGCATTTAAATTTCTCTCAACGTTTTTGGGTTCATCAACAGATTTTGGGTAATACCAGGGGTTCTATTTTGTCAAAATTACGGTAAACACTTCCAAATTTGCCCAATAGATTCTGGATAGTGTTAGAGGTTCATTTTTGTCAAAATTTTGCTCAGCAGATTTGAAATTTGCTAAACTATTTTCAAAAAATCATAAAAGTAGTTTTAAAATTCAAATTAAATATTTCATATATGCAAATCGAAACCCAAAAATAAGGAATCTAATAAAATATAAATTAGTTAAAAAAAATATGTCTAAAGAAAAATGTATGGTCAAATGGACAAAGGTCAAATTAGAAAAAAATTATATTTTGTTATAATGTGAGAAATGAGATGTATATGTCTTAAGTTATTAAACTAGATGTTATGAATTCGAAATAAGGTGTGTTGAATGTTATTAATTGTCTTGAAAAATATTGTTATAATATAAGAATTAACAAGGAGTATCTTTATCTTTACATATATAGTGTTATATGTATAGATATTGATTTGAGACTCGAGGAAATATCATTACTTTTAATCACACTTGAATCACATAAATGAAATATCAAGTGGTAAGAGTTGAACGAGGTTTCTAGTGGGTTAGTCTATCGTGTGAAAGAAAATTATATCTTGATAAGTCTTTTAGAAGTTTATCCTGGTCATACGTGAATGTATATACAAAATTGAGCACCCTTTACATTTGGAAAGTTGTGATGTGATAGATACATATCTATGATGTGTATCTAATTTTTCAGAAATCGTCTAGTGTTTATGTGATGTAGATTTGAGTTTATATGATCATGTGATGTGATAAATAAAAACTTAAAATTAAATTATGTTATTTTATCTTAAATTTAAATTTTTCATATTTAAATTGAATTATCAATTTAGCATGTGTATTTTGTTTATTATATTGAACGTTGAGTGTGTGTTTACATATAATATATTTTACATATAATAGACTTCCGTAAAAATAGGTTTAAAGTTACAAATAATATAAATTTATATTTTATTTATTTATGAGATGATATATATATATATATATATATATATATATATATATATATAAAAGCAGAAAAAAAATTATATTTTAAACTATTATGTATATTTTAATTATATATTTGTAATTTTTGGATTATTACATTTTAACGTAATAATAATTTAAAATTTTTCTTTATACTATGATTATTTTTTTAAATGATATTTTATTTAAATATATTAATATTACACTATAAATTAGTAAATTATTTTAATTTTTTTTATAGGTACCTTAAATGTATAGCTATCATTTTATATGTCATAATACATAGTTTTTTTTTCTGGTGAAAAAAATTGTATACGTTCTTAATTATTTATTTAAATAAAATTAAAACTTTTTTTAAGGACTTTTAAAGTTTAAAAAAAAATTAGTCTATATTTAACTATCTTTATCTTAATTCATATTTATTTTTATATAATTTCAAATAAAATATTTTAATAATGTATTAATTTTTTTTATTTTTTTTACACTTTCAACTCAATAAATCAATTATAATTAAGTTTATTTTATTTTTCATTATCTCAATTTTTTTTCCAAAATCAACAAAGTCTTATTTCAGCCAAAATTTAAATCATTTTGAATAAATCACAGGTCTGTCATCTGACTCAGTTAATAGTGGGTAATTTCGTAAACTTAGAAATTATAAAAACTAAATTAAAAAAGTAATATCTATATTAATATTTAATAATCATTGAATCCATACCATTTAATATTATAACAATATATGTCGTAAGCACATCTTGATAATAATTATTTAGAAAATTTTGGTATAAACAACAATATTATCTTAATATAATTTTAATACAAGTCCTATATTTTTTTTAAATAAAGAAAAAATTAGTAATCTTCTCTTATTTTAAATAATAACATAAAAAAATCCATATTAAATTAATATTTGTATTCATAATCATTTATTTTTTTCAAACAAATACTTTTTATTATTGGATTTTGAATTTCATTTAAAACGTTTATTTTTTTTAAATTAATTGATGATGAGAAAAAAAAACTTGAATACAAAAGAACGTCAGTGATATTTCCTTTTTTATATCTTTTATCAGTAATTGGAAGTTATCAATTTTGATAGATCTTAGATCATCAAAATTTATAGTTTTAAATAAATTTTAATCACCAATAAAAAACTCTTTTAAAAAGAAGAAGATAGAAGCTTATTCTAACCATCTTCATCCTGAGAATTGTTTGTTCTCTACACGTCAAATCATTTTTATTTTTTGGAAACATATAGAAAGATACAAATAGGGTGCCAATTATTTCAAGATGAATCTCAACCATTCATATACCATATGTGAAGAGAATATTCTTTATTTGAAATGAATAATTTGATATCACGTGTGATTTTTTATTTTATTTTCAACACTCAATTTTAGTTTTTAAATAACAGTGTGATTTTTATTTACAATATTTCAATCAAGCCAAATTGGATTTTCTAGATTTAAATACATAATTTTGATTTTCAATTTCAATATTAATTTGTTCACCAAAATAATAATGATAATATTTTAATCCGTTCAATTAGTATCATATCTACAAATTCTAACTAATAGAGACACTACAATAATTACGATAATTAAGAGATCTATGTTCACAAATAAATGTAGAATAAAAATACACACATGTGATGTTAGTATGTACTATTTTGCGATTCCGTGTTGGCAAGGTGTTAGGGTCCAAACATACGAAGCACAGTGAGAGTTCAAAACAAACGTGTGGAGGGAACAAGTGCCACGCGTGCGACATAGAAGTCCACTCTCTTCCACGTGGCGCTCCACGGAAGGCGCACCGAGATCGCGCGGAACATCAACCTCTTATCAACAAAATGCTCAAAACAACACTCCCCACGTTTCTTCCCTCTTTCTCTCTCCAGAGACTGCCAGCTTTGCACCGCCATGAACGCCATAGCAACTGCTGCAGTTCTCTCCCTCCCATTCTCCTTCTCTAGATCATCCAAGCTTGACACAAAAAGGGTTAAACCCACTTTTAATCACACTAAGTTCATGTTCCTGTTATGTATTTTCCGACCTGTTTTTGTAGATAACATTGTACTGTGTATCTTGAATTTCAGGGGTTGAAAGACCGGTTTAGACTGTTTGCTGTATATGGAGAGGAGATGGATAAGAAGAATGCATGGAGTGCGCTCTTTGATGTGGAAGATCCAAGATCGAAAGTGCCACAGAATAAGGGAAAGTTTTTGGATGTATATCAGGCCCTTGAAGTGGCAAGATATGATATTCAATACTGTGATTGGCGAGCTCGCCAAGACTTGCTTACCATCATGCTTCTCCATGAAAAGGTTTGAATCTACATCACTTGTTTATGAACTTTAGAATTATGTTTGATCATTCAATGAATTTTGTTCCATGTTTGCCTTGTTTAGTGTATATGAATTTTGAATATTTATTCACTAAGCCAATGGATCATATATTATATTATTATCGTTTCCCATTTCCTTTTCACTTCAGCAATACATTCCACTAGATGGTAAATTTTTTCCACTTAAAATTATGGGTGTAGGTGGTGGAAGTTCTTAATCCTTTAGCTCGTGATTATAAGTCCATTGGCACCATGAAAAAGGAGCTAGCGGAGTTGCAGGAAGAATTAGCACAAGCACATAGACAGGTACTGATCATTATCTGTTGAGGACTGATGTGCACAACATGAGCTGAGATGTTTTAGATTCATCTAACATGGTATGAACTTTGGTCGCAAGTTATTAATATGTGTCAGTATTCTTTTTACCTATTGAACAACAACAGGTTCATATATCTGAGGCAAGAGTTTCCACTGCTCTAGATAAACTAGCTTACATGGAAGAACTGGTAAATGATAAGTTGTTGCAAGAAAGAGGCACAACTGAAGTTTCCCAGACATCCTCTTCCCCCAGTACTTCTTTTAAATCTGTAGATGTAGAAAAGAGAAGACTGCAACGGAAAGGCTTGGATGTATCAGGTCCAGTTCAGTCATACCATCCCCACTTGAAGAATTTCTGGTATCCTGTAGCTTTCTCGAATGACTTGAAGGATGATACAATGGTTAGATAATGTCTATTATTCTTCGCATTATAAGATTGAATGTATTTGGGTCATCTGCTTCAATTTATTAAAATCTGTTGGAAGGGTAATTGATATGACAGTGGAATGTTGTCTTTCAACAAATAACAGATGAACTTTCTTTGGGAATAGCTTTTAATTAATGACTCTTTTCCTCCTTACCCTAATTTCAGTCCATTTGATTGTACCCAAGTGATTTTTATGAGGACACTATAATGTTTTGTTGTGGCACAATTTGACTAGTTTACCAATGAAAACCTTTGAACCATTTTTAGTTTCTCTTTTCTTTTTCTTTCCTTGCTTCTTCAATTTCTTGGGGTGATGGGTTTCTGTGTCATCTGAGAGACATCCTGGGAAAATTATCGTTTTACTCAAGTTACTTCAATCTAGATGTGAATTCTCGTCACTCATGAGCATGCTAATCTTTTTCTTTTTCAGATTCCAATAGAGTGTTTCGAGGAACCGTGGGTCATTTTTAGAGGGAAAGATGGGAAGCCCGGATGTGTTCAGAACACTTGTGCACACAGAGCATGTCCTCTGCACCTTGGTTCTGTGAACGAGGGTCGTATCCAATGCCCTTACCATGGTTAGTAGTCAGTTAATAATTACTTTTGGTTGCAACTTAAAGGAAATTTCTGCTTCAATGCATGATTATATCCTAGAAATGAATTATGCATTGGTTCATACAATATATGATAATATATCCTACCTAGCAATGGGTTATATGTTATACGCATTAAAACTTACAGGTTGAAAAATATCTAATGGTTGGATGTTAGGCTGGGAATACACTACGGACGGAAAATGTGAGAAAATGCCATCTACTCGACTGCTAAATGTGAAGATAAAGTCAGTGCCATGTTTTGAAAAGGAGGGGATGATCTGGATTTGGCCTGGCAATGATCCCCCAACAGCTACACTGCCATCTTTGCTACCTCCATCTGGGTTTATAGTACATGCTGAGGTATGTTATAATAAAATCTGACCCATTAGATATAGCAATTGGATATTCAAGGATTTCGATTATGATTCATGAGAAAATCTTTGATTTTTACTTGTGTTTTTATATGCCACAGATTGTTATGGAGCTTCCTATCGAACATGGTTTGCTTTTGGACAACCTTTTGGATCTTGCACATGCCCCTTTTACTCACACTTCAACATTTGCCAAGGGATGGAGTGTTCCCAGGTTTGTTTTGGATGTGTGTGTGTGTGTGTAAGGGGAAGGGTACTATTCATTTGTGAATTTGTAGTTTCTGAAAAACCACTTCTCTGACAAGGGAAGACACAAAATGAGAAATGGAATTCTGTCATGCACAGTATTCAATAGGTTGTTAAATTGATCTTCCAAGATATTTTTCTAGGCTTGGATCCCTCTTAACATAATTTAGTCAGTGTGTCATACACGTGTGTTCACATTGTAATTTTGCATGAAAGGATTGATAACTTGAGCTTTTTTTAAGGCATAAATATAAGTTTTATCGTCTGAAAAGATACATTTCTTGGTGACTTAGTCTCATAGCAATGACTTGATCTTGCAGCCTGGTGAAATTTTTGACACCTGCATCTGGCCTACAAGGATACTGGGACCCCTATCCAATTGATATGGAGTTTCGGCCACCTTGCATGGTTCTATCAACCATTGGAATTTCAAAGCCTGGTAAACTGGAAGGACAAAGCACAAGTCAGTGTGCCACACACCTGCATCAACTTCATGTTTGCTTACCATCTTCAAAACAAAAAACAAGATTGTTATACAGAATGTCACTGGATTTCGCCCCTGTGCTTAAGCATATTCCTCTTATGCAGCATCTATGGAGATATTTTGCAGAACAGGTAGAATATTTTTATTATACATGTTTTATATTATGTTGAAGATATGGGGAAACAAAAGGGAAAAAAAGTCCATACTAAAAGTGTAGAGCAGTTTAACATAAAAGAGTATGTGAGAAGTTTTTAACAAAATTGGACACATACTAGGAGTTAATTTTGATAAACTTCTTAATAATAAGTACTTATAGAAAAGGAAAAGAATATAATTTAATAAACTGAATAAAATCAAACTTCTCATATAAATTAAAATCAATGTATACACTTAAACTGTTGTAGAAGTTCCTTAATCAAACTTTGCTATCAGCATATATAAACTTAACAACAGAGCTCAGCACTTTTTATGAAAGTCTTGAACTCCTATAAACTAAAAGCTAATTCAAACTGGGCCTAAGCCTTATTCCACAGAAACAGAAGTGTTGTTTAGCTTTTATTGGATTAATATGTGGAATCAGTACTGAAAGAAAATACTACCCTAACCTTATTTTAACGTTTTTATTGTGTTTTAATGCCAACTTATTAAAGGTTTTAAACGAGGATCTACGGCTAGTGTTGGGCCAACAAGAGCGAATGAACAATGGTGCAAATGTGTGGAATTTCCCAGTATCCTATGACAAGCTTGGTGTAAGGTACAGACTATGGAGAAATGCCTTGGAGCGAGGAGATAAGCAACCACCCTTCAGCAAATAGAGTTAAATAAAGATTACAGTGCTTTTTATCTCACAGTCATGCTTCAACCAGCTTTTATTAACTAAAGTCGCTCAGCAAATAGAATTATTAATAGAAAGGCGAATTTGCACATTGCCTTTTCTTGGTTCTTTCAAAGCATTTCCACCACGCCATGCCGAAGAAACTACAACATTTGATCAGAGGTTGTCTTGTCTCCTCTTATTGAAGCCCCTTGTAAAAATAGCATCCACTGTACACCTAGCTTTTATTATTTCTGTGTACAGGTTCTACTCCATTTTTTACCCCACTTTTGCCATCCCAACTGGTGGCTTAACCTCGCACACAACACTGGTGCTTCTTGTATGACATTACAATCTTGGCTCAATGATAATTAAGAATTCTGATTGGTTTGGGCCCTTGAACTTGCCACTCTGATTTTTTTTTTCTTCCGTTTTAGTAGTAAAATATTTTGTTTGTTCAGATAATTGTAAGTTTTTCTTTTCATAACACCGCCAATTCCATAGATAAGTCAAATGAAGGATATTTTCGTTTACATCTTCAGATAACTGATCTTGGATTTTCATAAAGTCTCCACTTTTATGCTTTAGAAAGTTAGAAACTAAATGGTAGCATGTGGAATTTTTTATAACATTTCGAATAAATGTGCTATAATTTATTAGTTATTTATGATATTATTTATATATTTTTAATATTTAAATTTTGAAATATGGTAAATGCATTTTAAATTTTAATTTTAAAAACATTTACCCTGTAATATGAAATTAGGTATTTTTAATAATTAAGAAGACAAATTTAATAATGATCAAATCCTGAGAAGGTAATAACTAAGAAGAATCTATTAAAAATATTTAAAAATTATCTTTAGGATGATAAAAATAAAATGGAGGAGTGAGTCTACATGTATGCAAATCTATATTGGGGTGGACAATTGCATCCCTTAATTCTAATTTTACAATTAAAAATATTAGTTTTTTATTCACCTTCTGAATTTAATTATTAATGTTATTATGAAGTTACTGTCTAATGTATTACTATATGAAAAGTGAATATTTATGTATTATATACGACAACAATATTTTATTATTTATCTAATACAAGATATTTTATTTTTTAAAATAATTTGTCCTTGTTTAAGCAAAATAATGTTTAGAAGGGATATAATCGATAGATTTTATGTTTTTTTTTTTAAATTAAATATATTTTTTAGTTTCTCTATATTATTAAAATTACGACCACGTTAGGGTTTAGCTCTAAACGCTACTGCACAGTAAAAAAATCAAAACACAGAAGCCAAATTGGTGCACCACACTACAGATTTTAGCAAATCCCTCTCGATAAGTCGCGAAATCAGATAATTCGTTGATCAGTAAAGAAAGATGTCGATCTTCGAGTACAACGGGAGTGCCCTAGTGGCCATGGTGGGGAAGAACTGCTTCGCCATTGCTAGCGATCGGAGACTCGGGGTTCAGCTCCAGACTATCGCCACCGATTTCCAGAGGATTTCCAAGATCCACGACAAGCTTTTCATCGGTCTCTCTGGCCTCGCCACCGATGCTCAGACGCTCTACCAGCGCCTCGTTTTCCGCCATAAATTGTATCAGTTGCGCGAAGAGAGGGATATGAAGCCCGAAACCTTCGCTAGCCTAGTCTCTGCTCTTCTCTACGAAAAAAGGTGTTTCTCCCGATCTCTAATTTTATCAATTTTTGTTAGGATTCGGTCAATTGTGTACCTTTATCAATACTGTTTGCGTGTTTGCATCATCTGAAAATAATGTTGCATGTGAGGGAGAGAAGGAGGGAGAGAAGGAGGGAGAGAGATTTAGTATTGTTAAGATAATTCTCAGGGTATGAGGGAGACGTAGCATTATTGAAAGAATTCTTGGGCTTCTTATCAGCAAAACATAATAATATTGATGTTGTTATGAATCTGAGATTGAGAAACAATAAATATGGTCTAGGCATATTCCTACTTCGGTATGTCTCCTGTCAACAACACACTGGAAGTTGCATGTTTCATCCGAATCTGCTACATGTGTTTGACCAATGGTGTATATTTGAATTGACTCTGAACATTTTCTAACCGAACTTGCCGAGTAATTGAAAACTCTTGTAATTTGTGAACTTAAAAATGTTGTAACTCAATAAAAACATTGTGTAGAAGTGCTCTAGTTTTGTGTATGGCCATGCAATCTAAATGTGCTTCATTTTCCTTCGTAAGGTGTGGGAATGTGTAACTGAACATGATGTTAAATCAGGATGAACATCCAGTTTTCCATATTTTAAATAACAGTCGACTGACTAATTACAGAAAAAGAAAGAAACATATTTGTTGAAGCAAATGAAGACTCCATTATTTCAATGAAGTGGAAAAACGAAGTAAGATATATATGTTTGTGAAATAGTTGTGCATAATTTAGATGATATGCATAATTTTATTTTATTTTATATTTGTGGAAGTTATCATCTCACTTGATTACTGTAAATAAAAAATATGTTCTTTTGCATTTCAGGTTTGGTCCATACTTTTGCCAACCTGTAATTGCTGGACTAGGAGATGAAGATAAACCATTCATTTGCACCATGGATGCGATTGGAGCAAAGTAAGTTGAAGTATTGTATAATCTATGCCCTTATGTACTGTTGAGTCTTGAGGAAGGTTGGTGTTTTTGTGACATGGATACGAATTCTGATTCTTAATTCTATAATAGATTTCACATACTATTTATGCTTTTAGCTGGAGATTGGTGACTAGCAGCATCTGCAAACCTGAACAATATTGCTGAACTAAATCAGTTCTAGCTATTTCTGGTACTCTGGAATCACATGCAGAAGAAGTTTCAGAATATTTTCGTCTTTCTATATTTTTATGGCTAAATAATCATTGTTGTTGGGTGAAACAAAGTGGCACAACAGTCAGTCAGTAGATGGTTTTAGAAACTAAATACTTGGTGTGCTGAACATTTTATTTCTTTTCAACCTAATAATTTGTTGGAAAAAAATGTTTGAAGATTTTATTGAGATTTACAGTAACCCCTCCCATGTGCCCAACAGTGTTGCTAAATTGAACACTATGTATATACCTTTGACGGTGAATCAACAAATAACTGATTTGATCTTCCCTATTGGATGTACACCATACACTATATATTCTTGACTCTAATTTTTTTTTCAAGCTTTCTTATTTTTCAAATTTTAAGCAACTTTTTCCCCATTTATTAGGATAATCTTTTTGTTTTTCATCTAAGCCATATCTTTGTGATAGTAATGAGTAATACCTTTCCTTTTTATTTTACTTTTGCTGTGACAGGGAACTTGCAAAAGATTTTGTTGTGGCTGGCACCGCATCCGAGTCTCTTTATGGTGCTTGTGAATCAATGTTTAAGCTTGACATGGTTTGTCTCGAAATTTAATTTGTTGCTTTTAATGTCACATTTAGAAAAAAAAAATTGCAAATCCCGCAGTCATGTCTATACTTTGTTTGTGGTGTAATACTAAATTATGAAATAAATATATGCAAATGGACAAGTTCTTATGTTACTGAACGATTCGAGTAGTTCCTGGCATATATTCAGAATATCATTCATGTACAATAGATGGGATCACATGATGTATCTCTTAGGAGACAACGATAGCCTAGAAAATGAAAGAAGTTAATTATCCATATCTAGAAAAAAAAATCATTCTTTTTTATATAGGACTTGTATTTGGAATACTGTTTTATAACAAAATCTTTTGTTGACAGTAGCACTAGCAAACCTATGTTGCATTTACAGCGAAGATATCTAATCATTCAATCACACTACACAAAAATCAAGCTAGTCATTTATTTTCATTTTTTAATGTTGGTAGTAGAGCTGCGGCATATATAAATAATAAAAAAAATGTTAATCGATTATTTCACCAAATAATCGATTAAACCAGAGAGGATTGGGTTCTGACGTATTTGGCTCTGTTTTAGGAACAAATAGACCGTTTAAAATAGCGTCCCAGACGCCTCTATCAACAGACTCTAGAAAAATTTGCATACGTACCTTCCAGAAAGGATAATTTTGACCCGCAAAAAGTGGGGGTCTGTTGATAGACGCACCTTCGGCAAAAGTTTGATTTTGTCCGGCCATTTTCGAAAATTTGAATGACTATCAAAGCAAGCTCTGATACCACTTGTTAGAATCGCGCAGCGGAATGTTCGCGTGGTCGGACAAAAACCAAGAGGGGGGGTGAATTGGTTTCTTAATGAAAATTAGGTTTTCAAAATTTTCCTCAAATTTTACCGATTAAAAACTGTGTAAATGTAAATAGAGAAAGATAGAAATCTTACACAGGAGATTTATACTGGTTCGGATCAAAAGACCCTACGTCCAGTTGCTAATCACTCAACAGAGGATTAACGCTGTCACTATAAACAAATTGTTACAAAACAAATTACAATGGAAAAGATAAAGTTAAAGATAACACCTCTCTTGAAATCCACAAGAGATGAAGAACGGTTTTCCCCAGAGACGGCACAGCACACAATCCACTAAGAACTCCACTTAGTGATTCTTATCGCTTCTAGCCCACACCAGGTTCAGAAAGCCCTGAAGAACAGCTTTCCCCAGAGACGGCACGACACACAATCCACTAAGAAATCCACTTAGTGATTCTTATCGCTTCTAGCCCACACCAGGTTCGGAAAGCCCCCTTTCCTTGCAACAAGCAGTTCTACGGCACTCACGAGCACTTAACTTTTGTATGGAAAAGGTTGTTCTTATTTTCTGAGTGCCAAAGGAGAGTTTAAGTAGGGAAATTAGGGTTTAGGAATTGGGGATTTCGAAACTAGGGTTCTTGATAATTGGGTTTTCGAAAATAGGGTTTGTTTGAAGTTTAAAATCGAAACAGATTGAAATAATCGATTATTTGGAGTAATAATCGATTAAAATAGAAGCCAAATACGTCGGAACCCAATCCTCTACGGTTTAATCGATTATTTGGTGAAATAATCGATTATTCGTACGGAATAATCGATTATTTTGTTGTTTAATCGATTAAAGCGATGAGTTTTAGACGGAAAATGGTTTTCTCACTTGTTTTAATCGATTATATACCTATTTAATCGATTAAAGTCGAGCTCTGAATGATAAATTTGAGCATTTTGAAGCTTCTAAGTTACAGACTATGTACCGGCTATCTTAGACTCTAAAATTACAGACTCAATCAAACTAAAACAGAGTTATTACAATACAGAAATCATCAATCTTCAATCTTCAATACTCTAAGTCTTTAAGCTCTTGGATCATCATCAAAATCAACATTTTTCATGATCATTATTTGCAACATTAAGTCCTTGAATGTTCAACAGTGTACAATGCCTAAGTTTAGGGGCAAAGTTATTGTATGGAATAAGATTTTCTACGATAGTAGTATAGAACCCAATTCTGGGATTTAAATGAAAGTTGCTACCTAACAGAGGCTCAATTTTTCAGTTGATTTCCTAAGTTCTCACACATTATCATTGTGATGTATTCTTGAAATTTTAAAGATATTTTCAAAAAAATATTTCATGATCTTTAATGAGAAGAAGATTGTTCATGCTCCCTTGGTTTCTTAATTGTGACTCAGGAACCAGAGGAACTGTTCGAGACTATCTCTCAAGCGCTGCTATCATCGGTTGATCGAGATTGTTTAAGTGGCTGGGGTGGACATGTTTATCTTGTGTAAGCTTGTGGTTTCTCCATTTCTCATCATAGTTGACCATAAATTTTTGGCATACTGCTGTTACCATTTTGGAATTAGGCACTAAGCATTCATATTTTATACTTCATGTACTTACATATGTGAGTATGGTTGATGATACTTTTGCCATAGACAAAACAATTCTGGCATATTTTGGTACATGTTACTCTTTAAATTTCTACTGTCACAATTAATTTTCCTAATTATGATAGATTAGACAGCTACATATTTTACTACATGGATGACATGAAAAATTAGCAATGCTGACATTATACAGAATAAAGTGATAAGGGGCTTATGTCATCCGTATTCTGATTACTGAATTGACTGCTGTAATGATTTGAAAGAAAATCTTGTAATTTTACTGTTTTTCACCATTATTGCTTATATTTTTTCTTATTCTATATATTTTTTTAAATCTTCTCCTTAACTACGGTATTTGCATTTGTATTGCATTTAGATGTTTATTCTAAATGTCATCTTTTTAAAGACTCATTCAAATATTTGGTCTTTTGGTTTATTTGCTGCAGCACCCCAACCGAAGTAAAGGAGAGGATATTGAAAGGAAGAATGGATTAACTTTTAAGCGTGTCTAATTTAGACGTACTCCTACTTTCCGAGGTGTCTGAACGTGAAACGGGAATTTTATTGAATGGACCTTCAATCCCGTTTCAAATAGAAAAACAAACAACATGCTATAAGCCAACCGAGTCACCGATTTCTTATCATTTTGTACTTATCTTGAATATAAACGAAGATCATTTACCATCAATTGTGCACCTTGTGATTGTGGCATTTAACAAAATGTACCTTGAAAAGTACTTCGAATTGTTTTGTTTTAGTCCATTGTTTAGATTATCAGTGAAAATTCATTAGTCAAGGGAGTCTTGTGCTTGTATTTATTACATTTTTTATGCTAGGTCTAAGGAAAGATAACATACCTTGAGTTAAATTTTGGCATGTCAGTAGACCAGACTTTGCGCGTATTTATTACATTGTTTATACTAGGTCTTGGGCTAACGTTATACGCTAAATATCATATTTGTGAAGCATGTGAAAAGCAATAGAAGCGTCTTAAGAAAAGCATTTGAAGCTTGTTTAAAAAATATGGTATTATTTTTGGTATTGAATTTTGTACCATATATGTCGTTGTCTATTTAGAGGCTTCAATATATTTAGATAAAAAATTAAGCTTATTAATATATTTTGAAGTAGGCTTAGTTTATTTCGAAGAATTTATAATAAAGTAAGTTTCTAAGTAGACCTTTAGAGTTTAATCTTTCAGATTGCTCACATTTGAACCGAAGGCATGATTGGCCAACTTATTTATAGTTAGGTTAAGTCTGACTGGACCTATTTTTATGGTTAAGAAATGGGAAGGGTGTGATTAGAAAAGAAAGCCCAAGGTGAAACAGTTATAAAATAAATTTTCTAGTTATTAAAATTTAAAAAGCTAAAGCTTATTTTTAAAATAATCAATAAATAAGTCCTAAATTTCTTAAATGTGTTCGTTCAAAAGTGAGATTAAAACGTTTTGCGCTATCTTCGCCTCATTCTCTTATGCATGAGCATGACTGACTAGGATGTAATGTATGTTTACTGCCTTACTTATGCGTAAATTGCATGATTAATAATTCATACCGGTGCGAATTGTAGGGGTGGAAGTAAATGTCATGTACAATAATAAATGGCATCCAAATACTGATGAAAACATATTTTTATTTTTTTTTACTTTTTTTTCTTTTTTTAATTGTTTTAAAATACAAATAGAAAATAAAAATAAAATACTTTCACGATAATATAATAGAAGAGATATAAAATTAGTATGCTTAAATTTTTAATTAGATTCCAATTAAAAGAAATTAATTGTAAAACACTAAATATTTTAAAAAATCAACAGTAACATGCGAATTTGAAATTTAAAATCCAAAAGAATTATCAAAACTGGAAAAAAAAATAATACAATGCATAAAGAAATGGTCTTTCATGAGACAGTAGCATTTTGTAAAGTGACAACATTATAATAAATCTTAACATCTATTAAAAAATGCTAAGAATCTCTCCAGCGTAGATAATTTATTAAAAATCACAATTTGTATATTTTATTTTTTTCATTTAATAAATTTTGATTATAATTTTATAAAATTCAAAAAAATTAATTGAAAATAGTATGTTAAAAAATATATTAACACTTTTCTTACAAATCAAGGTCAAACACTCGTGAAGTACATTAGTATACTTTACCAAGCAAATTGGGTTGGCTGTGAATAGGATTCATTAACGCCTATTAAATATCCCATTGAAAATACGTATCAAGCTAACAGAAGGTGCAAAGCAAAATTACAGGTTAGTAGAAGTTCAATTCTGATATGCAACATAAATATCATTATACGTAAGAAAACATTGAAGAAATAATATGCAAAGATTACAAGAGTTGTTTATTGGAAGTGATAACAAAAATAACTGATAAGCCAACAAGAAAATATGGCCTAAAAATGTCAAAACAAAACTGAATTAGATGCAATAGTAGTTCTAAAAAACAAAATTGCATTATGAGTAGATCAAGCTCCAACTACTTCAGTGGCTCCCTCGACCATTGTTTCATCAATGGGCCTTTCCATTTTTGTACCAATATCTTCTGAGTAATCCCCGTGAATCTAAAAGGATTAAAAACATAAAGTGTAAGTAAAATAATGGAGGGGAAAAGTGAATCCTCAATCAGCAATAAAAACTTTCGTCCAAACACTCAATAATGCAATGATGGATCCCACAATGATTGACTGTTTCATTCAGGTACAAGAATCATTAACTCGATGAAACATTCATTATACATAAGAAGAACAGAGGGGTAAGTAAATTTTTTAATGAAAAGGGTATACCTCCATCAATTTCCCTAGATCAAATTTTGGAGCTTTCAGGATCTTAACTTTACGAATAAACACATTCTGGAGAGGATAGATACTAGATGTTGCCTTCTCAATCTCTTTTCCAATCATCTCAGGGATGAACTTACGGACCAGTTCTTTCAAATCACAGGATGTCGCTTGGTTGATCATTATCTCTCTCATCTTCCTTCGAATCTGAAAAAATAAAGGTGTGTTTTACACTATCAAATATACATTATCACCTTCCAACAAAAAAAAAGAGAAAAAAAAAATGATTAAGATAACAAGAGGCAAAACCCATTTTCTAAATGTAAAGATCCGACAGAGAATCTAGTAAATTGAGAGAATATTCGAAGTAAATTATAAGAGTGAACAATTAACATATGATGATATTTTTCTCCCAAAAAGTAATTGTAATATTGTTAGAGTAAACAATTAACTTAAGCTCACATCCTTCACATTTCTGATATTATATCTCAGATACTTTCAATATTGAGAGAGATACAATTAGAAAGCATGTTCAGGCAAGTTCACATAAATTAATGCTGGAAGATATCCCGATCTCAATATATTAGAAAAACATATTGAAAAGAAACCAACATTGCATATCACAACTAAGAAAGTGAAAGTGATTATACCTGTCTAACTTGGCTTGACTGTGCATAACAGGTCCTCTTCACCTGGTTACTACGCCTCTTAGTAAACCCAATGCAGAACATCCTCAAAGTATAATTATCAGTGGTCTTCACATCCGCATGAGCCTCGATTAAAGTTTGCCATTTTCGCACCAATGACCTCAACTTGTCATTTGTGAAATCCATCCCCTACAGTTACAGAGATACAATCAAAACAAAGAATAACATCACGCAAGTCAACAACAGTGACCAATAGGAGAAGCTCAACCACCATCATATTCATACCCAGAAATTCGTCAGCACATTTCTCCCTTGAACATCCTCAGCCCTCAACCGAATCTTCTTGAATGCATGGTCCTCGTCACCTTGAAGATCAGCCAGTGAGACCTCAAACACTCTATGTTTAAGTCCATCCGAAGCAATCTGTAGTTAAATTAGCCATCATGCCACTATCAATTTAAGCCCACACCAAGCTCAGCAATTTAAATTGCATGTAACCTTAATCACTCGTAGCAATATTGTTATAAATTATAAGAGTTTTAATCGCATTTTTTTAACCTAAAAGTGTTAATCGATGTAAAAATAGGCCCCTAATAAAAAAATCCAAGTACATCAAATTGTCAATATTTCATCAATAATAAATCCATAAATTAATCAATGTCATGTTGGTTCTTAAACATATATTAATATTATCATTTAAATTGCACGTTGCATATAACCTGCTGGATTAACGTGAATGATGAGTTCCACTTTTAGGGATTTTTGTGTTAGGTTTCTTAGTTTCAGGGATCCATCCACAAAATTTAACTATATGTTAGTGTCAATAGATGCAGATAAGGCAAGGATCACTGAAGCATATAATGTATATATAAAAAGGAATTGGCGAAAAATGATAGAAAAATAAAATAAAATTGTAATACCTTAGTGCCCTGGGTACGAGTGACAAGGGTTTTGCCAACATTCTTGACCTGGAACACAGAAGGGGCCTTGATATCGTACCAATCCTTCTTCGTAAAAGGATCAGCGCTGAAGAAGAAAAAAAAAAGAGTTAAAGAGAAAGTTATAAAAAAAATGTGAAAGCTAAGAAATGAAGGGTACTAACGCCTTTTTCTTGCCACCCTTCTTCCCTTTAGATATCCTCTTGTTCTTTCCCACAGCCATGGCTTTTCTACGTCTTTGCTTTGCACCACTTCACTCCAAATCGAATAGGTTTTCCTTCTTCCCTCAACATATATATATATATATATATATATATATATATATATATATATATATATATATATATATATATATATATATATATATAGGCATATATAAGTGTTACTTTTATTTCTATAATTGAATATAAAATATGCAAAAGATATTTATGGTTTTTTCTTTTCTGTTGATATTTATGAGTTTCAAAAAAAGTATTTAAGGAAAAATGTTGAACGAGTTATATGGACTTATTAGAACATTTCAGTTT